CACTGGCCTGCTCGTCCTAACAATATATTTATGTATTGAACTTTTTGCAGAATTTTGGACGTACGTAGAGAAATCTTTTACATGGACAGATCTTCCTTCCAAGTTCCCTACGAAATATGTGCAGTTTCCAGTTAGTCATTTTTTTGCCCTCTTTTCTCAATTTCTCCTTTTCCTTGCATGCCATTGATCCATATTTTTGCTGTTTAGCATTGTTGTGAATCACCTCTCCATTTTCTTATCTCCAGATATTTATTGCATCGGTACACAACAATTACGTCGACTGCAATCGATGGATTGGTGATTTCATGCTGTCCAAGGTGAATTACTGAAACCTTTTCTGCAGAATAAACACATTGTAATCTGCACTCCAATGTAGTGTTTTTTCACACACATTCATACATGTAACTTAAGGAAGACCAACTTTTAAACTCACTTGCCTATGAATTTAGGTATTTTTGTAACTTCAACTGCAATAAAATCTAATCCGAGTTATTCGGTGAGAAATGTGACATTCACATTTCACTGAGAAACCGCAGGAAACTAGTATTGTCAGACTTTCCAATAGTTACAAACAGGAATATGATTGGATAATACAAGTTAAGTTAGCCCTTTTTGTGCTCCATTAAGAACAATTTGTATTTTCTGTTTGCAGAGTGTTGATAATGAACTTGTACTATGGGAACCGAAAATGAAAGAGCAATCGCCTGGAGAGGTTAGAATCAGTTCTTTGGGTTATTTACCTTTATGGTCATACTGAATGTAGGCTTACAATCGGAGTAACAAAATGATTTTTGTTCAGGGTACAATTGACATCCTTCAAAAATATCCAGTTCCCGAGTGTGATATTTGGTTTATCAAGTTTTCCTGCGATTTCCATAACAAGTTAGCTGCAGTAGGTAATCCATTTTTCTTTTGTGATGAACTTCTCTCGAATATCAACTCATTTCAATACAGTAAAACACCCCAAAATCTCATTTTATTTCAATTTGACAATGTCCAGGGAATAGAGAAGGCAAGATATATGTATGGGAAGTCCAATCAAATCCCCCGGTACTCGTAGCTAGGTCAGTCGTCACACTTTTTTTCTTTTAATATTTCTTTTACTAACATATTCTGTGAACCTAATTATCCGAACTGAATGCTCAGATTATCTCATGTTCAGTCAAAATCTGCCATTAGATTGACTGCTATGTCCTATGATGGAAGGTAAAATTTCCCAAGCATTTATGTTTTTTTCTCAAAAAAAATTATACGACTTTGGATAATGTGATTAGTGTTGTCTATATGATTTTGTACAGCACAATTCTCTGCTGCTGTGAAGACGGGACGATATGGAGGTGGGATGTGGTAGCAAGTTCTTGAGCTTCTAAAACGGTATTTAATGCTACTGCCCTTAACGGTCGGTATTTAGTAACATCATCAGAAAATATATATTTAAGTTACATTTTGATGGATGGAAAATGGTCTGTGATCCGTAGCTTCCTTAATTGATGTTTACCACTTGTAGGATTTTGTCCATCTAATTGAAAACTAAAGCTGTTGATTTATGATTTCTTTTTCAAAGATGGTCTTTTTGCATGGTGTTTTTCTTTTTTTTTTTTTTTTGGTTCCTATCATTTCTGTATTAATACTTGCAGATTGTATTAAGCAATTTTTCCAATATCTGATCATTGTAAAAATGGAATTTTCTATAAGGGGCTCTTAGATAAACCCCCAACCCCTCCCCAAACATTGCAATAGTAGAGGTCCATTCATATTTTCCTCGGAGGAACCGGAACCGAACCGAACCGAATATTAGCGGTTTTTTTACGGTTCAAAAACCGGCGTTTCCGGTCCTGTTCCGGTTCAAACCGCCGGTTGGACCGGTTTTGTTTTTGTTTTTTTGTTTTTTTTATAATATATTTAAACACTTGAAAACCGTTAAACACTTGCAAAAATTTTTGATAAAATTATTGTAGACATTTGAAAAGTATACTTACTCTTGAAGTTAAATTTTTAAAAAAATATTTTTGTCCTTTTAAAAAATCCGAATTTTATGATTGTTTGTATTTTTTATTTTTTTATTTCTTTTTAAATCCGACCGTTTGAGAATTTTTAATTTTTTTTGTTTGAAAATTCGGCCGTTTGAGGCCGCCACGTGAAATATTTTCATCTTTTTTTTTTTGAAAAAACGGTAAGACCTCTGGTTCCTGCTTCGGTTTTGGTCAAACCGGTTCGGTTCTATTTAAAAAACCGTTGACCATGGTTCGGTTCTAGTTCTAACCGTAACCATGGTCATGCTCTCATCTCCATTTTGTTTTTCCTTTTTTTTTTCAAATTAATTTTTGTTTTCTATTTGTTATTTTTTTATTTGCATGTTTAGTTGCACATTCAGCGTATTCTGTTATTTGTAACCCTTATAATTTGGAGTAAACGTACTGAATCAAACCTTCCTCTTTTATCTCTCATTGTGGAACATATCACAATTTCCGAAAATTTTCAAATAAAGATCAAAGAAAATCAGAAGTGAAAAATAAATTCCAGTTCTATGAAGTAAATAAATAAATAATCGGAAAAATTAAAAAATCAAAAACATTAATTTCCAATAAAAGAGGAGAATATAGTTGTAACAAAAAAAATTATATTAATTTAGCATAATACTAATTAATATCAATAAATAAATAATTATTAATTTATATATTAACGAATAACTTATTAATTTTATTAATTATTATATTTTTCTTATTTTTTTTTATTTTTTATTTTATAATTATTATCAACTCTACACTGCTAAATATTCATCCAACCAAAACTTCAAATAAGATTTGGTAATATTAATAATATTTAAGTTAAGTTTTAGAGAATTTGTTTTTTTTTTATTTTTTTTTTTTTGAGACCAAAGTTTTAGAGAATTTGTTAACTATTCAAAGATTCGTATATTTCCATATAATCAGGTCAGGTTTATACTAATCCGATAAGAATTTAAACTCTTCTTAACATATAAAAAGTAAACGTGTTTCAGTGTTGGTAAAAGACTTATTTCCTCTCAATATAAACCCTAATAGCCCTCCTCCTCCTCTTTGCATCACCATCATCAAACACAATCTCTCTCTCGAGCTCTCGTTTTCTGTTTTCCTCGTCTTGTTCGATTAATTAATAATATAATGGCGGTACGTAGTTCGATCACTTTATTGTTTTTAGGGTTCATATATATATATATATATATATATATATATATATATACATGCATCTTTTCGATAATAGACTATTGATGGTTCATATTAAACTTTATTTCAGATTGAGGTTATCGTGAAGCATATGGCCGGTCAGACGTGGACGGTTAAGGTGCAGAGCACGGATACAATAGAGACGTTGATGATTTATATTGGGCTGCAAAACTGTGTATCGACAGAACGCCAAATGTTGTTCTTTAACGGAAAAGAACTTTTTACCGGGACTCTTGCCGAGCACAATATTAAGAATGGCTCCGTCATCGACTTCATGATACTTATGTGAACCCTAGTTTTTGTGCATGATGCAGGCACAAGGATTGGTTATTGATTTAGTTTAGGCTGCGGCTATATGCAAGACTAATTCCACTTGTGCAAGACCAAATTAAAAATTTCAATATATAAATACTATAATACCCTTATTTATTAAAAAAAATAAAAAATTCCAAATATGCAAGACCAAAAATTCAAAAACACAAAAAACCCTATCACAAGACCACAAAACCACAAGACCAACTATCATCTTCTCCATCTTCCAAAACTCACAAGACCTTTCTCCTTCCTCCTCCATTAACCCACAAAACCTAGAAATTCAAAATCATCAAAACTCAACAAATCTTACAAAGATGGCAAGTATGGAGTCAGAAGACATCAAAATAGAAGATTCTACGATGGAAGAACCCAATAATGTATGCATTTATGGGTTTTTTTAGCTAGAATATCGATTTTCCAAAAAAAATCCCGCGCAAACGAATTCGACATGTACAGGTCGAATTTTACAGGTAAAAATCGACATTTAGATGTCGATTTCGAGGTATAAAATTCGACATTTAGATATCGATTTTGAGGTATAAAATTCGACATTTGAATTTGTGCTAGAAATTCGACATGTCAATGTCGATTTTTACCTATGAAATTCGACGCTTAAGTGTCGATTTGTAGCATAGTTTTTCGACACCTTGGTGTCGATTTTTGTTTTTTTCTCATTATTTGTATTTGGTCTTACATGAGAAAAAAAAGCCAATTTAATTTATGGGCATACTTGTCATTCCATCTTAATAAAATATAATCTTTTGGAATCTTTCTTTAATTTGGTCTTGCACAAGTGGAATGAGTATTGCATATAGCCGCAGCCTTTAGTTTATTATATAGCAGAGTTTCTTTATTGTCATCTTGGTTTACGTTCTATGAGACGTTATTATTATTGTTTTTATTTTTATTTTATTTTCTTTGAAGAGTGTTGATGATTAAAATCTAGCATGTCTCCACAGAAATTAGACAAGAATTTATCTATAAACTTGAAATCCATGCTTAAATTCGAATTATCAGCTAATTTAACATTCATAACAAGCCTTGATAATTTATCAATTGTAGCCCTAGAGCAGGACTATTCCTATTCTACCTGTATCGTCCTCCATTAACTTCTCTCTGTATCGTCCTCCATTAACTTCTCGTCTCATCATTGTTCCGCTGTCTTCGAAGGTTTTAAGGAGACTTGAGACGAACAATCGGCTTTACTTGCACACAAAACTCTTACATTTATCTTTTTTGTAGTAGGAGTATTTTTATTATAAAAGAAGAGGAGAATTATTGATTAGTACAAAAACAAATGTTATGCTTCAAATGAAACCCAACAACAACCTGAAAGAAAAACACCATCCAATTTTTTTGTTCTTAATGTATTTATTTTATTTGTTTTTAATGTATTTATTTTATTTGTTTATTATAAAAGAAATTAAAAGAAAGAAGTCATTTTCCATATAGATGTTGTGTTTATATCAAAAGCAGCCAAACCAGAAGTATTTTTCAAATATACTTTTTATTTGGAGGCAAAGTGAAGCAACACATTACACACCAAACCAAACCCATAAAGCTCTCTCTCTCTCTTTCTCTTCAATTCATTACATTCACTACCCCCTTCTCAGTCTCAAGTCTCTTTCTCTCAAACAAACTTCTCTTCTTCGTCTCTTGAAAAACAATATTCGCGAAAAAAAAAAAAAAAAAAAAAAAATCAAGAACCTCTGTAAGTATACCTAATAACCTCATTACTAAGCAAGGTTAGGTGAAAGACAACAACCTTAAACACCACAGCATTCTATTTTCTTACATTTGGGGTTCACTTTCTTGGATGCATTATTGCTAAATGAATGTCTAGCTACTGCAAGTGATTTCTTTTGTGGGGTTTATCTCTTTTTGGTTAGTTTTTTTTTTTTTTTTTTTCTATTTTGGGGCGGAAAGAGAAAGAAGGAAGACCTGAATAAAATGCAGCTGCATATATCGCCGAGCTTGAGGCATGTTACCCTGTTGCCTTCAAAAGGTGTTAGGGAGTTTATCAAAGTGAAGATTGGCTCCAGAAGATTGTCTTATCGCATGGTCTTCTACTCCGTTTTGTTCTTCACTTTCCTTCTCCGGTTCGTGTTTGTTTTGACTGCTGTGGAAACCATTGATGGAGAAACTAAATGTTCCAGTTTAGGTACCTTAAAAGTTTAATATACAGCACAAGATAATTAGTAGTTGCAGTAATTATATGCATATATATGATCGTGCAGATCTTGCAAATATTTGATTGCAGATGATACTCTATCACTTACCGAATCATGTATTTACGATCCAATGCAGGTTGCTTGGGGAAAAGATTGGGACCGAGAATCTTGGGAAGAAGACTCGAATCTACCGTAGATATCCTGATCCCTACTTTTCAACAACATGCTTCCATTATTAAGTCGGAAATTTTAACCTGTATAAAAACTTACATGGTTCCTCTCAGGTTCCTGAAGTGATATATCAAGTACTGGAAGAACCTGTTACTCAAGGTGAAATTCAAACAGGTCCAGAAATTCCTCAAACCATGGAAGATTTTGTAGCAGAGATTAAGGATGAAAGACCTGATGCCAAGACTTTTGCGGTCAAGCTCAAAGCAATGGTACGATCAATCAAATATAATATGTCTTCTCCTAATGCAAGAAAATCTGAATTCTTTTTCTTGCAGGTCACACTACTCGAACAGAGGACAAGAACTGCAAAAATCCAGGAGTACCTGTACCGCCACGTGGCATCGAGCAGCATACCTAAGCAGCTCCACTGCCTCACTCTAAAACTAGCAAACGAGCACGCCATTAACGCCAACGCTCGTCTTCAGCTTCCCTTGGCAGAATTAGTCCCGGCACTCGTTGATAACTCGTTCTTTCACTTTGTCCTAGCATCTGACAATGTTCTCGCCACCTCAGTCGTTGCATCGTCACTCGTGAAAAACTCGTTGCGCCCAGAAAAGGTAGTTCTCCATGTAATAACGGACGGAAAGACCTATTATCCGATGCAGGCTTGGTTCTCTCTCCATTCTCTAACACCTGCAATCATTGAGGTCAAAGCTTTGCACCATTTTGATTGGTTCACAAAGGGGAAGGTACCCGTTTTGGAAGCCATGGAGAAGGACCAAAAAGTGCGGTCACGGTTCAGAGGAGGGTCGTCGGCTATTGTGGCGAATAACACAGAGAAACCAAATGTAATTGCTGCAAAGTTGCAGGCACTAAGCCCAAAGTACAATTCTTTGATGAATCACATACGTATACATTTGCCAGAAGTAAGTCTCAACTCTCAACATATATCACATATTTCGTCTGACATTCTTGGAATTTTGATCCTTCGATTTATTGCAGTTGTTTCCAAGTCTCAACAAAGTAGTGTTCCTAGATGATGACATTGTTGTCCAAACTGACCTTTCGGCTCTGTGGGACATTGACATGAATGGAAAAGTCAACGGTGCAGTCGAAACATGCAGAGGAGAGGACAAATTCGTGATGTCAAAGAGGTTCAAAAGCTACCTGAACTTCTCCCATCCTCTGATAGCAAACAGCTTCAATCCAAACGAATGCGCATGGGCCTACGGCATGAACATATTCGATCTAGAAGCTTGGAGAAGGACAAATATAAGTCGAACATACCATTTCTGGCTCGAAGAGGTAACCTGCAATATTAGCTGATGATTTCACACAACCCCATAACCCCATATTCTATAATGTGTACCTTATTTTTTCGTTGCAGAATCTGAAATCGGACCTCAGTTTATGGCAACTAGGAACTTTACCTCCAGGCCTAATAGCTTTCCATGGTCATGTCCACGTCATCAATCCCTTCTGGCACATGCTGGGATTAGGGTACCAGGATAACACAACCATTGCAGATGCTGAAAGTGCTGGAGTCGTCCATTTCAACGGCCGAGCAAAGCCTTGGCTGGATATAGCATTTCCACGGCTTCGCCCTCTGTGGACCAAGTACGTTGACTTCTCAGATAGATTCATAAAAAGCTGCCACCTAAGAGAATCTTAGAAAATATTCAACAATGAAAACTTCTTTACCCTCTTTATATACTTGTAAACGAGAGGTAGCAGGACACCCATGGAAAGTTCTGCAAAAGAAGTATAGAGAATCTATGTGCAGGGATGATAACAGCCCCAGGCTTCAAATTTTGGGAACTCTTACTCGGTTCCAAGTTCTTACATGTATCACAGTTCATTCATTTTTTTTGCTTCCGAACATATATCATGATTCATGGGGCAATTCACATGTAAACATTAGAATAAAGTTAAACTGGATTAAAGTTCAACAATCATAATTGATCATCATGGTTCATCGGATACAAGTTAAAAGTTCAACAATCACAAACTGATCTCCATAATTCACCAGACCCAAATAAGACAGTCGACCAAAAACTAATACAGTAAAAAACACTCAAAAATTACGTAACAACTAGACCACAAAGAGAACCACCACTACAGGATTCAGCTGCCGACTTAGGCAACCGGTGGGCGCAGTACATGGTCCTGAGATGTATCAATGGAAGCAGGAGGCATGAACTGCCACATGGCAACACCTGGGTAGCTGATAATAGGCACCATTTTGTTGCCCACGGCCTGATTTTGAGCAGCAAATGCAGTCGGAATGGCAGGAGGAGCTGGTAAAAATCCAGGCTGAGGGGTGTTCATTGTCTTTAGCTGTTGCTCAAGCTTATCTTTCTCAGCCTTCAATCTTTGCTTCTCATCACGAAGCTCAGTCTTCTCAGCCTAGGGAAAGAAGAAAAAAAAAGTAATGAATACCAATAGCACAATTCATCCATTTTCATTGGTTTACAAACCAATACTAGCAAACTAAGCAAAATGTAAAAATTCACAGAGCAAATATAGTAAGTTCTTCCAGAAGGACCAAGTTTCCAGAGTAAGAACATCTCTACCCAAGACATTGTCTAGCATAAGAGTTAAATAAAAAGATTACCTTCAGCTCTTTAATCTTTTCCTGGAGATTCAAATTTGAGTCCTTGAGCTTCTGAGCATCACTTCTTAGCTGAGTTACCATACGAACAGCATCGACCAAAATAGCAGCCTTATCTGTTTTCGGAGGCCTACCGGGCTCAAGCAGAGCACCCAATTCCATAAATCTAAAGACATGATGAAGCAACAACTATAGGTACAGAATAAATGGAAAACCAGCAATGTGAAAGAAGAAGAGAACACAAGTACTTGTCATTTAGCTTATCCCTCCGCTGTTTCTCCCTGCATGCTTTAGAGCTTGATGGAGCACATGCTTCAGTTCTAGTACTGTGGAAGGATATAAAAATGTCAGACGTCCTGTTATTTGGATGAATGCAGGTCTAACGAAAGAGAGTAGAAAGCATTCCGGTGCACTCTCAGTAGTTAATTGTTAAATTTCATTTTCAATGGTTTCTCCCTTTAATGTAAACTTACATTGCCGCTTAGAGTATTAAATCAGAAATCCAGTGAAATGCACAATAAGAATGAACCCCCACCCCTTCATTTTCCCAGCACTCAACAAAAATAAAATGAAACAGATGCAGCTTAATCAGACTGCTATTTACCTACAACCAGTGCTTTGAGATACATATATCGTTAGGCCAGATAATCAACTTATTATTTACATCAACTATACAGTCAAGGGACAAAAGCTTCTCACCGCTTTTTGGAGCCAGCTTCTTTCTGCATGTCCGATTCCCCAGATGATCCATCAATTTGCAAACTATCAGTATATAAAAACACCAAAAGAAAAAAAAATAGTGATAAATGTCTTTGCTAATGTGAAACAAGTAGGGGAAACATGAGGATATGAATAATATTCCAAAAAGAAATAGGAAAATGTATAAATAAAGCTGAAATGGTTAAGGATTATGTCTTACATACAATTGAAACTTCATTAGTATTATATCGGAACAAACAAGATCTTGCGCCTTATTTAGTTTTTGAAAGTTCATGTCCCATAAAGTATAACCCTCTCAAGATCAATAACATAGCTAGACCCGTAAGACATGATTTATTTACATTTGCCAACATTGGAAGCAACGAGAAACAACATAAAGAAAAAAGAATAAATTTTGCAAGTCAATATTCACATAAGGAAATCCTTATCCAGAATATATTTAGTCATCATTACCAAGACAAGATGTCATGTTGCACGAACCAAATATACTACAGTGAACCTTATCGAGAGAGACCCAAATTTCAGAGTTCACATAGCATGACAGTGGACCACTGTGGTTTTGCCTCACCCTAAACCTCAAAACTTAAGCCATAATTAGAAGACTAATTCAACATGTGAAAACAGAGAAGAGTCAGATCAAATAAAGTAACTAATATCATCTATAAATTGTCTTCCACTTCGTAACCAAAAAACGCAGCATATTACACCATCAATCTAAAGCTAACTGCACTCAAAAATGTGTGAACAGGATTTAAACCCTTTTTTCATAATCCCAAACTCAAGAACAAAGTGTGAAATTTAAAATTAAGAAAATACCGAGTAAAAAAAACGCACAAATAAGACAATGTTTTATGATTTTCAGAAGACACCGGAGAGATCGAAGTACATGAACACTTGACAAGAGAACATCAGAAAATCATACAAACACGTGGCGTATAAGAAAAAAAAAATTATAGAAGCTAATAAACACCACAAAAAAACACGAATTAGCTCGAAATAAATAAACAAACCCCATAAAATCAGATGATATTTGAAGCACAGCAACAAATTAGACAACAGTATAACATGCCAAATTGCCAATAGAAAATAAGAGAATCCATCAAAAACTCACAAAAGGCCGGAGACCTGTGAAATACAAATGGGTAAAAAATTACAGTAAGAGTAATTGGAAAAACTACCTGACATTCGATGATCCATTCAAAGTTTGCATGGGCCAAGAGAATCCAGCACTCGGAGCAGAAAAATTGACATCGGGAACAGGGTTATCTTCAAACCCGTAATCGTACAGCCAATTCGTGTTCTCCGGCGAAACCATAAGTGATCAGTCGCCGGGGAAAAGAGAAATTAATACCGGCGCCGGAGCAATTCAACACAGAGAGACAATGATTGGGTGGGATGGGGTTTCGGATTTGAGCATTTGGGCGAAAAATGGAAATTGCGGATAGATGATGGCTTTCATCGGAGTTGAAACTTAATGGAGAATCTGTGGGTGCGTAATATTCTAACCAAATTTATTTCACTATCCAGTAAATTAAATGTTTTTTTTTCTTTTTCTTTTTAGTTTTAGTTTTTTTTTTTTAATTCAAATATTATTTGTATTGGTCCGTGTATATTCCGCATGCATATGTGTCTGATTGTGTGTAAATCAATGTCGATTAGGTTAATTGAGTTCGACCCAAAACTTTTTCATGTCGAATGATTTTATTCGAATGATCTAAATTTATTAATTTGAAAAGGATTTTACCATTTTAGTCAAAATGAGACGAATTGACTCAATTCGACTTAAAATTACGGGCAATTTGCTAAACTCCACTCCCACTTTCCACCACTGCCATCATCAAAATCTTCCATTCATAGTCACACACACGTGCACACACTACATAGAGTGACGCACGTGCGCACACACTCACACGCACATATAATCACATTCGTGCACAATAGACATTTGAATATTCAGATCTACGTAATTTGGTTGTTCACTTTGTTTAGGTATATAATTTGAGAGAAAGCCGATTGCATATAGCTAAGTATTATGTTGTAGTCGACCACTTGACATAACTAAACTTTTCAAATATGTAAGTATTCTATTTGGATTGGATGCATAAATGAATCAAATCGAGTCAAACGCATATTTGTTCTTTTTTTTTTATTGAGTTTGAATGTGGTTTAATGTACAAAGATGTCAATTTTCAAGGGATAGCTGACGTGTCAAAATGGTGTTGGTCAACAATGATGAGAAAAGGGATTGAAGATGAGTGGTGTATGTTTAAAAATGTTTATAAAAGACTATCTCTATTTGTTGTCTGGCCACTAAACTAATTGAATTGGTATTTGTTTGAAAACTGTATCAAAATTGAAAATTTTAGCCAATTACAATTCCAATTTAAACTTTTTTATTTTATTTTTTTATGGAAAAGTTTGATTATTCATTGGATAATTGGTTTTGTGATGGCCGTATTGGATTTGCACCATTGAATCATTCAACCAAACAAAAAAAAGGACAATAAATAGTACTCCACCAATATTATTAAACATATTTAATTAGGTGGATTAATTAAGAAAATATCAGATTAAAAGTCTACAATTAGTTCCTAGCAATCGGCTTATGTTTAATTGAGCTTTGGATTTGATGAAGAGGTCAGCAATTAGATCCTTAATCAGAATTAATTAATTAATTAATTATTAGGGGAACTAATTAATTAGCAGAGCCACACTAACTGGGAAGAACTAATCAGCTGACACAAGATGATTGTCACAATAGTTTTTTAACTATAAAGTTAGTTCTGCTATTTCATGATATTTTTGTTTTGATAAATAGGATAATGATGTTATTGCAGCTGCAGAAAGTGATCTCTATATGTTATAATTTGCAATTTTTTAATTTTTTTTTTTAATTTTATTTGAGTTTGATGATGCTCAAAAGTAGGAATTGGGAAGTGACGTCATTAGTCCAATAATTGCAATTTGTGGAAATCCTTGTTGTTTCATACTCATTTTAGGTGCAGAATGATTCAACTATGTCCAATAATTCTATCATTAAATAGTCGGGATAAAAAATTATATTACTTTAGTGAAATATTAAATTATCGAGCTAATAATTTTATACGTTTTTACCGAATCAGAACCGGAAGAAATTACCGTGAATTGAAGGATAGTGCTTGTCTTTAGAGCCACCAAAAATCATATTCCATGACAAAATAGTATGGTAGGCCTCTTCCAAATTATTTGGAATTTTCTCCATTGCACTCTTAGCAAATTATAGTACGGAGGAAATGACAAAAATACCCTCGTGCAAGAGATAAAGCAAATTTGATGGACAAACTAGTATCCACCATCCACCACTCTTCAAATGGATATACCAGTAACCTTATTTTTTGTCAAAAAAATAAATAAATAAAACTAAACACTTTCTCCAGTTCTTGAAAGAAAAGCAAGCTATGGCAACTAGAGCTAATTTCAACGTAATTCCCACTATTTGCAGCGTCGAGAAAATTCAGAAACGAGCTCGAATTGCATGCTTTTTCGATAAGAAGAAGGCCGACGAAGAAGAAGTTGATCGAGATAACTCGGTTCAAACTATTACAAGAAGACTTGCAATAGGAATTTCCACAATTGCCCTTTTCGGAACCGCCACCGTCGGAAAATCGATTGCAGACGACAATGGTTTTTGGCTCAACGGCCCTCTACCGGTACCGTACGCTACCAACAGTACGTATAGTATAACTATATTTCATTTGAATATTTATTATTTATTTTTTTGTAATTATTATATATGTGATTTTGATTTGTGTGCAGAGATAAACAACGAAGAAACGGGGACACGTTCGTTCTTGAGGAAGGGACTCTACATAGCGGATGTAGGGACAAAAGGGAGAATTCACAGGTTGAAGAAATATGCATTTGACCTCATAGCTATGGGGGATTTGATTGAACAGAGAGATGCATGGAATTACGTTCGGAGGTATTTGCGTCTCAAATCCACTTTCATGTACTTCGATTTCGACGAAGTTATTTCCGCAGCCCCCGTTGACGATAAGAAGTCGCTCACCGATCTTGCCAATCGTTTGTTCGACAATGTCGAAAAGGTAACTTTTTTATTCAAAAAAAAAAAAAAATTTAAAAAAAAATCCTTTGAAATTGAACTAAAACTAATGGTCTTTGTTTTACTTATTTATTTATTTATTATTATTTTTATTTGTTTTTGTGACAGCTTGAGGCTGCAGTGAGAAAGCAGAATTATCCAAACATAGAGTCATGTTATGAAGAAACCACAACACTTCTAGAAGAAGTGATGACTCGAATGGCATAAACCGGAATTTGCGACGAAAAGCTGTTGCTATATATTTGTATGTTTCAGATTTTATGTACTCTGTATTAGTAAATAGTAATTAGGAGAAATTTTTACAATGAGGGGGGTTCGGATTATTGGAATTGTATTGTTTATTTCACAATTTGATTCGATCTTCGATTATTTGTATAAAATTATAAGTGTCGATGTGATGGATCGAAATTTAGCATAACTTGAATTTAAATGATAAAACGACAATCGATGCTACATAAACTCGTAAAATTGAGATTTCGAACCAATTGATCAAATTCATCAAGATAGTACTAGTTGGCCTATCTACAGTTAGCTAAATATGAAGCTGAAGTGTAGTAATAACTAATTGGGTATCTGTATATGTAAATTGAAACCAAATAATTCTGAAGAAAATAATTCGATTTTAAAAGAAAATTGCATTGGAAAAAAGAAAAATCAAGCAAAAAGGATCTTGGACTTGGCATGTTCTACTATTTTTTGGGCCTGAAAATAAGGTTAAATAAAAAAATGGAGATGCGGGGTATCGATCCCCGTACCTCTCGCATGCTAAGCGAGCGCTCTACCATCTGAGCTACATCCCCATTGAATGATGAATGAACAGTAATTTTGCATTTTCTATGTTTGTGGTTTCCGTTTAACTTGCATTAGATGACCATCAAAACTTGCAGTGAATAAATTCCTCATAATATATCATAGTACATGCATCCACCAAAACAGACTGAAAATCAATCATGTACATACAACCAACCAATTTATACATACACACACATCTTGAGAAAAATACTCTGTTTCCTTTATGTGACATTCGATTTGTACAAAACAAACCGAAAGTCTTTTGTGATCTTAATATATATATATATATCTCCTATAAGCTATGGCTAGTTTCAGTTTGGAGGTGCATCAACAGTACACTCTCTAGTGTTTTTCGGAATCTTGATCTCCAAAACTAGGTCGTTTTTGACACGCGCCTCCGTTTTTCTCCAATCGGTTTGCTCCGGCAGCTCAATCCTCCGAACATAGCCGTACTCCCACCAAAGGCCGCTCTTCCACTCCCTTTTTTGCCTCCATTGCCCACTTATCTCCATAATCTTCCCATTCTCGATACAAACTTCAACCGTGTTACCTAATAATAATATAATACATATATCACCAATTAACGAGAGAGAGAGAGAGAGAGAGAGAGAGAGAGAGAGAGAGAGAGAGAGAGAGAGAGAGAGAGAGAGAGAGAGAGAGAGAGAGAGAGAGAGAGAGAGAGAGAGTTGAAAAGTCACCAGGGATTTCTGCTGTCAAGACAAAGTCGTTATCCGTTTGAGACCAATCGATGTTTCGATGGCTGGAGCTATTATGGAGATTGGGTGGCATTATTAATGAATCGGATTCGAACTCCCAAAGTGGGAAAGCATCAGAAGGATCGAAGAATTTGCCGAACAAGAGAGGGCTGAAGAAAGATCCTGCACCGAAGATCTTGTGCACCACCGTCGGATTGTCTAATAATTTGCTCGTAATAAAGTTTGCAAATCCATCTTCTTTCAATGGATGGCACCATTTATTATGTGGGGTCGTTTGATCTTCGATTTGAATTTCAACTTGCTTGTAACTGCTCATTCAAATGCTCTCTCTCTCTCTCTCTCTCTCTCTCTCTCTCTCTCTCTCTCTCTCTCTCAGAAATTGGATATGTTCAAGAAGAGAGGTTGAGATTGCTAATGTATTATATATTATTATAGATATATATTTGAGCTAAAGGGAATATATTCTTAGAGAATATGTGAATGGCTGTAAAGAAGAAGGAATATCTTTCTTTCTTTTTTTTCCTTCCTTTTTCTGGATGATTCTCCACATTAGAAGAAGCAACGGTGACGAAACGATCAATCGCACCAGATAAAAATTCCTTGGGCACTCACACAAGATCACACAAGTGGCACTAATCTTCGATCGGTCTTTATATATATTTATATACGATGTCGTTTATATATGTATATATATAGGAGACTGCCGTACGTACGTATATTTGTATAGATTGCAAATGCTTTAGAGAATATATAAGATGATGCATTGTTGTATGTATCTGATATTATATATGCCTGAATGATTCACCTTTCACTATAATAGAAGCAGAGCACACATGCGAGCCGGTATGACCGTTGGATGATGAGATTTGAGATCAATTCCCGTGATTAAATAAGAAAGGATCGTTGATTGAAGCGATCATAATAAATCATAGACGAATATAGAAATTCTTATTTTTCATGGTAGCTTTTAAAGGAATTTAAGGAGTGTCAAGTAAGCAACTAATTGGATGAACACTGTAAGATTGAGTACATGTTGATAACAGACTAACTAACTAAGTTGAGGTGGAGCTCGATGATTGGTCGTAGGAGATCAAGGTAGGTGAGCTGAAGACTTTGATGAGAAGCTGACCTCTGAGAGAAATATAAAGAGGATGAGAAACTGTATTCGATTCGATTAAGAGAAAGAACGCATTATAATTGAGATAGAGAAAAAAAAAAAATTTGAAATCAGACAGAGAGTTTTTGCGATTGAAAGAGCTCTGAAGTTTTGATCTTTTTGTAGTTATCGAAAATAGTAAAACTCCTCTTGATTAGTAGTGAAATAAAGATCGTGTTCCCTCCATTTTTATTGTGTTTGCAGTTGAATCATTCTATAGCTCATGCGTAATTAGGGTTTTCAATTTAACTTGCGTGTATTTTTCGATTGCGTGTGGTTTGATCTGATCATATATAGTTTATTTGTGCTTAATTGAGCTTGATTATCTACGAATTAATTGCTTCCAAAATTATCAAGACAAAACTTGAGTATCTAGATAATTAAAAAGGCCAAAAGTTCAGACATCCAATAATCCTCTAAAAAGTTATTCACCATTATTATATGATTCTTGACTGATAATCTCACCCTCATAAGTATGTGCTTTATACATAAAATAATTAATTAACTCCATAACCTTTTCATTTTTTTATTTACTATTTCGTCAGCAAAATTCAGCCAATGAAGAGAGTGATTTATTCGAGCTAGATGTTTATTCATAATTCATCAATATTTTATTCAATTTATTTCTTTAAGATATAAAGGTGTCAGCACCCATTAGTGGAACCAAGCTACACTTTTTGTTGCAGATACCTACCCCCATTTATTCACGTTTATTTATTTATTTTTATTTTTATTTAAAATATCTTAATGCCCACCTAAAATATATAAATATAAATTTTCATGGTCAAGTTTAGGAGAAGCAATAATTGAAAATAAAAACCAAATCCAAACATTAAAAACTTTATAAAAAAAAAGTGCCAAAATGAAATCAAAATAAACTTTAGTACATTGCAGTACAAACAAATGAAATCAAGATTTTAAGTTTGTGGGGCTGAATGCATTAAAACTTTTATAAATAAAGGCCGAAATTACTAACTAGAATTCGAGAATTATGGGGGTCACCTGTAGATATGGTCAAAGTCAATTTATAATAAATAATATAAAATCTACTTAATCAATGTTTTATTATGTTAATAAGATTTAAGAAGTAATAATTATTAATTATTCCATATAGAAACCCCACGTAATTGACTAAATAAACCCCCAGTCAAGAAAGGGCAGCTCCTCCGCCGTCTGCTTCAAATTTGTGTGACGGTTCAATAAAAACTAAAATAAATTAAATTAAAATAAAATAGAAATTCCGATGAGCTAGAAATTCCGATAACCTACAGAAAAACCCACAAACGAAACGGAACAAAGAAAAGCTGCCATAAAATAATCAGTAAACCTCTGTCAGCTTTTTTAACACTTCTTCTCTCTCTTGGGTCAACTCACGCGCTATTTCTTCCCATCTGTGTCTTTTGGGTGGATCTGGCCTTAACGTAATTAAAAGTTAAAACCCCCCAACGCTAAGGAATTTATCTTCTCTCTAGATTCAAGATTTATCCCTTTTCTTGGTTTTTGTCTGGCGTTTTGGGAATTCCTTCTTTCTTCATCAAACTGTGATTTGAACTCACTTTCGAGCTTTTCCCAAGTGTAATTTCTTAGGAGAAAGATTGGATTTTTGGTTGAAGTTAAGCATTCGGATCAATTGAAAAAGCTGTTCTTGAGAATATTTAAGTCTTGTTTGGCTTGAAAATGGTGTAAAGGTTTGACCTTTAGACGTTACACGTGGGACTGGGAGATGGGGAATTAGTAATAAAGGGGGCTTTTGTTGTAAGTAAATGTTGTAAAGATTTATCTGCATACAATTGGCAAAAGAGATGAGGAATCAAGAAAAGAAGAGAGGAGTTGTTTGTTTTGTTGCATATTTTGTTCTTCTGCTTTTCAGTGAACAACAAGAAGCAGCACGTGCCGAAAGCAGCAAATGGGATGAACATAAGCCCTTGCTGAGTTATCTAGTAGACTCTGGAATGATCAATCAGGAGATGGTAATTTTATCTCTCTTCAACTCACTCTTTGTTTATTTAACTTGATTTTTTTTTTTTTTTTTTTTGTGGGGCATTTGAGAAATTCTAATTTATTCGAATCCGTATATGGTTACTAGATCGAGTGATGATCTTTGTTCGCGGAAGTCCGAGTATATGCAGTTGTCTTCTGTTTTGTTGTTTTTTCTATCGAATAATGTAGTTTGAATCTGCTTAGAATAAGCTCTTTATATGTGATGTAACGAAGTCGTTAAGGACTTCCGTTTTTCGTATTTTTGTTGTTGATAGTTTGTCTAGGCTGTTACATGATTCTTATGTCTCGATCGTACTTCTATACATTTGAGAAAATGCAAGTTTATTTAGTAGAGAGTATGATCGATTTTTCATTTACATGAAATTAGAGAAAAACCCGATTTCAGTACCGAATGCTACTTGTTCTATGAAATAAATGCAGAGCGTAATCTGATGGAACTTCTTATTGCAGGCTGAGTTATTACGGGTTAATTGTATGGTAGAGTTGGTGAATGCCCAGAAAACTTTACAAGATCTTGAATTTCATTCGACAAAAGATCGATCAAGTGATAGTATCGAATTCTTGAATGGTAGGTTTTCAAGAAAGAAAATCCACGAGACGGTCAATTTCTTGCTCCCTCAGGTCAACCAAATCCTCGTAGACTGCGTAAAGGGGAAAACCCACATGCACGCCGAATCCGGAGAGGACAAGAGTTTTGACGAAACCTGGTACACCAGATATTTATGGTTTCTTTTTAACCGACGCTCCGTTTCCAAAAGACGATCATTAGCAGAGACATTCGACGGTGCACCTGCTCCATCACCGCTAGTTGCTTCGCCTAGTCCAGCACCTTCGATTACAGCTACTCCACCTTCGCTTCCGTTTTTCCCTCCAGATTCTAGCGGCTCGAGTTTTCAGCCTCCACCTTTTGTTGCTAATGTAGGGTCGAGCGGTGGAAAGTCGAGCAAGAGAACGATTGTTATCGCTGTGGTTGTAACTGCAGTTGTGACATTTCTTCTTGTTGCTCTGTTCTTTCTTTTCTGCCGTAGATGCTTTAAAATGGGGGCTGGACGGGGTAGAAACGACGAAAGGCCTCTTCTCAGCTTAAGCTTGAGTGAATATTCTATTGGTACATTATCTCATCTTGCATCTCATCTCTTTTTATTTTTTATTTTTTGCTGATTGTTTTTTTTTTTTTTTTGGGTTTTATTAGCCTCTCCACAGAAGTTGTTCGGTTTAGGAACGTCAGTGAATGAAGAAAAGATCGGTAGTCAGTCATTCAACAACAACAACAACAAATTGAACCACAATAAAACTAGCGGAAGCTTCTACGTGGAATCAAATTCTCTGAGCAACTCCAAAGTCGAGACCAATGGGGTGACGCCACCTGGACTGGCCCCACTGAGGCCGCCACCTGGAAGGATGGATTCACCTAAACCAAATCGGGGTAATGCTGCTCCTCCTCCTCCACCACCACCCACTGCTCCTGTACCACCACCTCCGCCACCTATGAATACTTCTTCTGGTGGCCCACCTCGTCCACCGCCTGGCCCACCACCACGCCCACCTCCTGGACCATCTGCACCACCGCCTCCTAGACCTCCTGGTGCTACCACTGGTCCTCGTCCACCACCACCTCCGGTACCTCATGGTGCTACTGTTGGTCCTCGTCCACCACCACCACCTCCTGGTGGTGGTGTGCTGCCACCTCGACCGCCACCTGCTGGCTTGAAACCGCCACGGCCCGTGCCCGGTCATCCATCCACTTCTGCCTCGATTGACGAGAGTGAGGCTGGTGGTGCTAGTAAAGCAAAACTGAAGCCTTTCTTCTGGGACAAGGTGTTGGCTAACCCTGATAGTACCATGGTTTGGCATCAGATCAAAGCCGGGTCTTTTCAGTAAGTCTATTTTTTCCCCCACATCCTTTTTGTTATCTCGTGTGTAAAATTAATCTTTTTGAATAAAAAAATAATGTCTTTTTATACATAGGTTTAACGAAGAGATGATAGAAAGTCTGTTTGGCGCTGCACCTGCCGCAAAAAGCAAGAATGAAGGGGGCAAAGAGTCTTCATCGCAAGACGTACCCCACTACGTTCAAATAATCGACCCCAAAAAGGCGCAGAATCTATCGATTCTGCTCAAAGCTTTAAATGTGACTACGGAGGAAGTTTGCGATGCACTAGAAGAAGGTGACTTTTTTTTTTCCCCCTTGTCATTCTATTTGATATTTAAGGCAGATAATCGACTAGAATTACGTTGTATGGCAGAGTGTCGATTTCTGAAAGTATAATTACGAGCTAGTGGTCAACTGTTTCTTGGCCATGCTATTTTTTATTCTTTTTTGGGTAATTTTGCGTCATTAGAAAACACTGCTAATCTTTTCGACTGAATCATCAGGTAACGAACTTCCACCCGAGCTTATTCAAACTCTACTAAAAATGGCACCCACGACCGAAGAAGAATTGAAGCTAAGACTCTACAACGGCGAGCTTTCTCAACTAGGGACCGCAGAGAGGTTTCTAAAGGTCCTCGTAAATATCCCATTCGCATTTAAGAGAATGGAATCATTATATTTCATGTGCACTCTTCAAGAGGAGACATCAACATTAAAAGACTCCTTCCTTATCTTGGAGGTGAGACACATATTTAAAAATCACGTCTTTTTATATACTTCTCGCAAAAAAATTGCGTACTTATTACGGGTTTGTCCTCAATTTTTCAGGCTGCATGCACAGAATTGCGAAAAAGCAGATTGTTTCTCAAACTTTTAGAAGCTGTCCTAAAAACGGGAAACCGTATGAACGACGGAACATTCCGAGGTGGGGCCCAAGCGTTTAAGCTGGACACACTTCTAAAGCTAGCAGATGTAAAAGGAACAGATGGCAAAACCACACTATTGCATTTTGTTGTCGAAGAAATAATTAGGTCAGAAGGCATAAGAGCCGCTCGAGCAGCAAAGGAGAAGAAGGGAAGCATGTCCAGCATTAAGTCAGACGATTCTCTAGAAGATTCCGACCAAGATTCCGAGGATCATTTAAGGAATCTTGGTCTCCAAGTTGTCTCTAGTTTAGGTAACGAACTCGAGAATGTAAGAAAAGCTGCGATCTTGGACACAGATAGCATAACGGGCACAGTATCCAAGCTGGGCCATGCCCTAGTAAAAGCCCGCGACTTTTTGAACTCAGATATGAAGAATGTTCCGGAAGAAAACGGGTTTCACCAGATTTTGAAGAATTTCGTGCAGAATTCGGAGGTTGATGTGAGGTGGTCGCTCGAGGAAGAGAAACGGATAATGGCACTTGTTAAGAACACTGCGGATTATTTTCACGGGCATTCGGGTAAGGACGAGGGTTTGAGATTGTTTGTGATTGTGAGAGATTTTCTAATCATTTTGGACAAGGTTTGTAAAGAAGTGAAGAACTCGCCACGTAAGCGGAGTGTGGTGTCGAAGAAAGAAGATACAGTGGCGGCGGCAGCCCCACCGGACATACGGCAGAGTAGTAGTACTATTACAGATCACAGGCAGCTACTTTTCCCTGCCATTGTTGATAGGCGAATGGATAATTCGAGTTCAGACGATGAATCGTAGTTGTTTAGATAGAGATTGTAAGTTATTTTATTTTTTTTATTTTTAAATTTTTATTTTTTTATAAAAATCTTTAAAAACTCTAATGGATGTGAAAGCTAACAATGTCTTTCATCTTGCAGAGGTGTTGCAGAAGGGTACAAGAGTATATGCTCTTATTCGAGACTGCTCTTTGTGATGCGTTTGGCTACACGATTTTCTTATACGGGCCTCGGTAGAAAAGATTATTGTCCTTGCTCCATTCTTATGTGTTGTTGTTTACCTTTCTTTTCTGCTTATTCTTTGTATTCTATATTCTTATTGACCTTCATCATTCAAAACTAGATACCAAATCATTCTAAAACCCCATTTTCCCAATGTACAAAATTTCAAGTGATTCATAATATTGTGTACAAGTATATATATCTATGTATTTGTTATTTATATATCTATACTTAATATACCAAGACAGGATAATTCTTTTATAAATATTGATAATTAAATTCAAAAGAAAGAAAGAATGGGGGAAGTACAAGACAAACTTCACTTCTTTGATTCATTCATTCAATATCCATTTTAAAACAAGAAACAGGGCTTCTCAATCTATGTACCAAATCTAACAGAAACAATCGACCTACCACAAACTAAACTAAAACATCAAAAAAATAGGAATAAAATTGAACTGGGAAGAACACAATGAGAAATTAAACACCAAAACCCTAATCATAAAACTAGCAATCAAGAAACTACTACTGCTGCTGCAACTTCTTGTTCCAAAAAAAAAAATATGAGAAGATATTTTTCAAAGCGGTTTAATCATCATCTGCAGAGGGCTTTGAGGAACCACCAGCCTTCTTGGGAAGAAGAAGGTTGTGAATGTTGGGCATCACTCCACCATTGGCAATTGTTACATCTCCTAGAAGCTTGCTCAGTTCTTCGTCATTTCGGACAGCCAATTGGATGTGCCTAGGCACAATCCTCGTCTTCTTGTTATCTCTGGCTGCATTACCTGCCAATTCCAGTACCTGTAATCGAACAATAATTCCACTTTTAGATTTTCCATGAAGAGAGAAAAAAAAAAGTCAATTCGAACCCTAGATAGTTTCAAGGTAGGTAAATCCACTCAAATCGAGACCCAAATCTGAAAAATTACGCATAATTTGAAACGATGTGGATTTCAATTGTGGAAAAATCATGTTAATTGAGATTTCCCCCAATTCAATTCGGAAAATTAAAAAAGGACCAAAATACCGAAACCCTAGATTCGAAAATCGTGGAAGTCCGAAATTGAGAATTCAGAACAAAAGTGGTGTAAAAATCCTTTATACAAGATAATTACCTCAGCGGCGAGATATTCGAGGACAGCGGCGAGGTACACAGGAGCTCCGGCGCCGACACGCTCGGCGTATTTCCCGGCCTTCAGAAAACGGGCGATACGGCCGACGGGAAATTGGAGCCCCGCTTTGCTGCTTCTCGATTGAGCTTTCTTCGCCGCACCAGATCCGAGCGTCTTGCCACGACCAGCCATTACAATTTCTGGCGAAGCTTGAAAATACGAAATGTGAAAAGGGGTTTTTTTTTTCTCTTTGTTCTTGAGGAAAGAAGGAATTGGGGGAATTGGTAGAAGAACGTGGTAGTCGAGTGATTTATATAGAAGTGCCGCTGTTCGAGATGACCAATAGCGTTGAAGTACGCGGATCGTCGATTCTGACCGTTGATAAGGGGAACAATTGGACGGCTGGATCTGAAAACTGATTGTAGATGCGGATTTAAACTGCGTCATAACAAACTATCAAAAAAGACCGCCTAAATAAAATTCTTTTGTTTAGGTTTGCGAATTCTCTCTTCTTTTCATTTAAAACTACAATTTACGTTTCTATCCCTATACTTTTCTTTATTATTTAAGGAATTACACGTACTTCCCTATATTTTGGTTTAATTACAGCCAAACCATCTTTCATTTGAAAAATTACGATTACCTCCATTGAGTTTTTCTTTTGAGGCACCTACCTTCCATTAAGGTTTGGTACTAGCAACAAATTTAAATACCCATCATTGATTTTCTTTTTTTTTTTTAAATATATATTTTACCCTTTACTGAATAATTATATTAACCTCCCATAAGGTTTAATCTAATAACACAGCGGCCCCTAGTATTTTAAAACCATTGTAGAGACCTCCTTTAAAGTTTAATCTTAACCAATAATTCAATTAAAAACATTATTAAAACATATATATTTTTTAAAATAAAAATATATAAAAAATGAGAAAAAAAATTATTTGACATTTCTTTTTACCACGGTGCAGTTCCGCGGCATTGTGGTATATCCACCTCGTCATTGCATTTTTTCTCTCGTAAACTATTAAACTTTCAAGTTTAATAGTTTAATCTTACCTCTCTTAAAGTTTATTATCCAATATTTAATTCTATTTCGTCGTTAATTAGTAATAAATCAAAGGACCATTTTTGTGGTTTATTAATAATAGGGTAAATTACAACCATCCCTCTAAGGTATGGTCAATTTACGAAAAACCCCCTATTGTTTGGATAATTACATCTACCCCTCAATTACGATTTTTTTTACATCTTCACCCTTATGGTGTCAAATTCAACATAATCATCTACATTTCGTGGAATGTGCTCTAGTTTGTACTCGTTTTGTGTAAAAATAAAACTTCTGATGAACCACAATCTGATATATACAAGCCAAAAAACGCATACTATGATCATCTTGCTTCAAAATGTAGAGTTCGAATGGGGTAGAACGAGTACAAAAGTTATAATATTCCATATAATTTCGAAGATTCCACTAAATTTGAAACCGCAAGTGTGGACGTGTAAGATGATTTATAGTTGAGGGGTGGTTATAATATCCAAACAATAGGGATGGTTTGTAATTTAACCATACCTCAGTGGTGGTTGTAATTTATCCTTAATAATATTTAGTAAACATAAAAATATTAATTTATCAATTGGGCCTATAAGCCTACTACCTCTAGTTGGGCCTGGCCTTGCTTCTTGTTAAAATTCAAAAGAACTTCAAATAAAATTCAGGGTGGAAATATAATGTATTAACATGTCAAATCTTGAGCTATTGTTTTTTATTTTAAAATTTTAAAATTTTCGATAGTAAAAATTAATTCCAACTCCATCTAAAAAGAATTCGAAAATACTAGAAATTAAAATTTCGAAAAAATGGAATGAAAATACATTGTTCCGAAATCAATTAGAACTTGACGTATTTGTTCAAACCAGTATTATTATTTTTTAAATAAACAAATTCAAACCTATTAGAAATTGAACAAAACATAAAATTTGGGGGAAGCTACAAGCTAATATATTATTATATTAAATAAGAAAATAAATTAAAATTTAAATGATAAAAATCCAGCAGAGATTGTGAGTGTTGGATGCATAGAACAAACTTGTTTGATAATTAAAGGCTATATGAACATCATTAAAGTGTCCGTCTACTACTCCTGCGTCCTGCCTCATAATAAATAAATAAATAAATAAATAGTAAATTAATAACAAATGCGATTCATATAATATCACCTCTTTTATTAAAAGTTGTCACGTGCGATTTAACCCCTCATTGTGTACTTGTCTTTTTGTGCGCAAATATTTTTATTTTTACATTATATAATTATACGGATGTGAATATAATTTTATTAGCAATAAAATTATTGCTAATATTAGAACTTACTCCAATTAACAGAAGTCAAAAAATCATGGGAAAATTATTGGCCGAAAAATGGAAACAATTTGAGATAGGGAAAGAGCAAACGTCTTTGTTGTTTTGTTACATTATTATTTTTTGTTGTTTTGTTATTATTATCCCCTCTTTGATAAACAAATAATATCGATCGTCAATATCAAATGTATCTGAGTTATTCTACACATATTTTTATCGCTCGTCATCGACACATACAGTTTTTTTGGTGGGTAGCTATGTACTGAGAACCAACAAATCTAAATTATAGTTTCACACTTTTATGCTGATGATTCTAATGGCGACAACATCCTGGCACTACAACCAACGGTTGTTGACTATCACCAGATACATCAATTTCTTCAGGCGTGGGGAAGATGTGCGGAATTACGGTTGCGCAAAAAGAGGGACAGAGGTTGAACATGACGTCTTTCGATTTTTTGTCGTAATTTTGAGAAGATTCGAACATGTTTGGAACTAAAATTATATTTTGGAAGGAGAGATAATGGGTGTTTGGTTACATATATAAATAAAATGTATGGAAGAAATGGAAAATACAAAATCGTTTAAAAAAGCACATTCTAGATATTTCAAGTGGATACGGAGCTAACTGTAAGCGAAATTTAAAAAGACAAAATTCACGCAGATCCCGAAAAACTATAGTTTCTCCTCCAAAAATAACTTCTCAGCCTATGGGGGTGCAGTATTTAAAATATAGCACTGATAACTATCTAATATATGAAACTAGTCGAAAGTAATTTACGAGCAAAAAATTCAATAAATATATTTGTAATTCATTTTATAATTGCTTCAAAATCCAAAGAAATATCCCAATCCATACTAGTGTAAATATAATTTCTCTTTTATTTTCTTTTTTCCCTTCTTTTAATGAAAACAAAATGTTATATTCACACTTACTTCGAGCTTTGGCATTCATAATGGTAATCCCAATTCAAAGAAACTACAACAATCGATGAATGGGACCAATAATTATTTCAAGTATTTTATAGTGCCTCTATTTCATCATTTCTTTCATTATTTCTTTATTACAAACAAAATTAAATGCAAAGTCGCCTAGAAAAGGGTGTTCAAATGTAATAATTAGCTCTCATTAATCGAGATTAAGATGCATATTCAAGGCTTGGAAAGTTGGATGTACAATTTACAGATTTACCATTCTTAATTAATTTTTTTATTGAATTTTTTATTTATTTCAAGAATCTATTTTTTTTAATTATATCAATCAACAAGATGATTCTTTTTCAATTCAATCTCGTGAACAAGTTTCAATTCAAATTGAGGTGACCATTAAAGAGAGGTGTCAGTCAATTTCAATTTTTCAATCGCACCCCTGTCACTTTCTAAATTCTCACTTCTACCCCCTGCACTTTTCCACTTTTTCATTTTTGGCACATAGTTAAATTTTGTCATTTACTTTGCGCCACGGAAACCAGCCCTTTTATCCATCCATCACCTCACTTGTCATCTTCTTCTTAGACCCAAAAAGATTCTTTTTTTTTTTCTGAATTGAATTTAATTTCAATTTCCCCCATTGTTGTTTTACAGACACCCCCATTAATTTAGGTAATAAAAAAGCAATCTTTTTTATTTATTTTTCCTCCAATTTTTCATTTGCACTTTCTGCACATGAAGCAAGAATTACATGTTCTTGGAAACAAAGTAGAGTAGCCCTTTGGAAAGTGATTTTCTTGAATATTCATTTAGGGTTTATATTAGTACTCCTGTCTGAAAATGAAAAAGGCAGTGGCAAAAAAGTAATATTAATGCTAGTAGTTTATCTCTGTTCAACACTATGATCAAGAATCTCTGAAACATTGAGCAAAAAAAGAAAAAAATGGGGGAGAAGAAGAAAGATACTCCGGCAACTGTTTGGTTTTCCTTGAAGAAATCACTGCACTGTAAATCTGAGCCGTCCGATGTGCACAATCCGAAGACCCGGAAGCAATTGACCGCAATCCTGACCCGGAAAACCGGCAGATCGGGTTGTTCCCGGTCCATAGCGAATCTGAAAGATGTGATTCATGGCAGCAAGCGCCATCTGGAGAGGCCGCCTAGCTGCAGCCCAAGATCCATCGGCAGCAGTGAGTTTCTCAATCCAATTGCCCACGAAGTGATTCTCAGCAACTCCAGATGCGAGCTCAAAATCACCGGTTTTGGCGGTTTTCACGACGGGTTTAGCGGCGGTGACAGCGGCGGCGGGGGTGGCGGCGGTGGTGGTGGGTCGACGTATGTGGGAACTTTGAGGCCTGGGACGCCTGGTCCTGGAGGCCACCCAACAATGCACTACTTCAACCCTTCTTTCAAGAACTCTGCTGCAACGCCGCCGCGGAAGACGGCGGCGGCGCTTTTGGCTGAAGGAAGAGATGGGTTTGGCGGCGGCGGCGGCGGTGGTAATGGTTTGCTTCCCTCCCAGAAAAGGGCTTCCTTTGATAAAGAAAGCAATGGTGTCACTTGCCACAAGTGCGGCGAGCACTTTATCAAGTGGGAAGCTCTTGAATCTCATCACCTCTCCAAACACGCCGGTAAGAATTAAATTTCTTCATGTTTAATTTACTCTGTTTTGTTTTTTTTTTTTTTTTTTTTTTTAATGTTTTTTTAATCTCAGTAACTGAATTAGTGGAGGGAGATTCATCGAGAAAAATAGTCGAAATAATCTGCCGATCGAGCTGGTTAAAATCCGAGAACCACTCCGTAAGAATCGACCGTGTCTTGAAAGTCCACAACATGCAGAAAACCCTAGTCCGATTCGAGGACTACCGAGAAGCCGTAAAAATAAAAGCAAGCAAACTCCCCAAGAAGCACCCTCGTTGCTTAGCAGACGGAAACGAACTCCTGAGGTTCCACGGCACCACCATAGCGTGCACCCTCGGCATGAACGGTTCGTCGAGCCTCTGCATTTCGGACAAATGCTGCGTTTGTCGGATTATCAGAAACGGATTCTCCAACAAGAGGGAAATAAAAGGCGGTGTGGGAGTTTTCACGACCTCGACTAGTGGAAGGGCTTTCGAGTGCATAGAAATGCTGGATAACGATGTTTCGATTAGGAAAGCTTTGATCGTTTGCCGTGTAATCGCGGGGAGGGTTCATCGGCCGTTGGAGAATATACAGGAGATGGCTAGCCAAACGGGGTTCGATTCTTTAGCAGGTAAAGTCGGTATGTATTCGAATATTGAGGAGCTTTACTTGCTTAATGCTAAAGCTCTTCTTCCTTGTTTTGTTGTTATTTGCAAAACATGATAACAAATGAATATGAAAAAAAAATGAGAAAAAAAAAACTAAGTGTTGATATATCTTTTTACCTAGATTTTGTACCTAGGTTTTATGTAATATTTTGAGCATTATGTTTAATGTTGTTACATTGTTTTGCTGGGAATTGATTGGAAAAATCTTTTCTTGGATATTTTTTTTTAGATTTTGTTTTGAAATATTTAATGTTTGTGTCAATATATTGAATGTGAGACAAATGACAGGAGAAAGAACATTGAACTAACTTATGTGATATGCCCCCCACTAAGACAATGAAAGAATAATTAAGGCGTGACAAATGATAGTTTGTGTTTTGAGTGATCTATTTTTTTAAGAAAAAAGAGAGCATAAATAGTATATAAGGCTAGCAATTGGGCCATGTGAGCTGAGATTGAGCTGACTCGAACTCGCACAACATCGAGCCTCGTTACTATAAGCTCAAGTTCATATACCATTAGTCCTCATTAGTATGCTCTCGGCAAATTTTCAGGTTTATATCGGAATCATTACTATAGAATTGTAATAAGTAAATTGAACCATAGTAGGCTCGAACTCAGCTCATAAATAAATCGGGTCTAGTAAATGGCTCAAATTCGATCTGGCTCACTAAAAAACAAGATCGGGTCAAATATAATCGGATCGAGCCATTGCTCGTCCTACTCGGATATCCAATTGCTTATAAAGAATAAAAAATAGAAGGAATCATTTGTTTCTGTGGGCTACAATCCTATGTGATTAATTTATATGCAAAATCTTGAAATCCTCCAAAAAAAAATATATATATATATATAATTATCAAAACAATTGCGTGTATATTAACAAAAAATATTTGTGGCAACAATGCAACAAGTGTAGGGAAGGCATGTGGTCCTAGTTGGAGTGTTTAGTTAAAAATATTGGAAAATAAATAAATAAATAATCTTGAAAATAACAGGTCATGTGAATTTTGCCTACTGTCCGAGAAATGTTTTCATTTTGTCTGAAAATGGATGTTTTTATCGGTTTGTATAAACTGCTTTTCCATTGGATATTTGGATGCTCTTTGTTTGTCAGTTTTAGACCTAGTTTGAAACCCTGGAGATAAGATCAGGGAAATAGAAATAAATATTTCAATATTTATTATATATTGGTCTTATTGTATTTTATTTTATTTATTATATTCTTAGGAGAAATATTCAGTAGGTATATTTTCATTTCAAAGATTATTATTAACCAGAAATTTCTGAAAACAGACAGTTTCTGAACCAATGAAATCAAGAGCATTTGAATTCAAAATTTCCCAGATATACAGAAATATTTGCTGGATTTTATTGTAATTTTTTTTTTGATTTGTTTCAAACAAATAATGAACCCCTCTGCTCTGCAGCAAAATCTGAATTCACTGTAGTAAATAGTAAATACCATGTCCCTACAAGAAATCCATTTTATGAACGTATTCATTTGAATTCAGAAATTTAAATTCAAACCTGTGTTTTTATATATGTAATAAATGATTTATTTACAAGCAGATGGCATTCAATGCTGACTTACACCATTCAGAGCGTTGACCAGTTGCCACTACTCTTGTTTTTAAAAATCAACTGTTTTCCAGCTCTCACTTAATCAATGTTCTTAGTAAAATTGAGATGCCATTCTTTCTATTTCTAGGGCCATACAAAATCTTATTCGACCTACAAAAAAATAGAAGAGATGCTACTAGTATTTCAACATGCGACAATTCTATTAATTTATTGAGCAATGAGCAAATTACAGTCACCCCTGAGGTAAGACTCAATTACGAAAAAAAACCCTTCTCGTTTCAATGATTACAACCACCGCTTCAAACTATCTATTTTCTTACGAAAAAACCCATCAGGTAAATTTGACACAGTAACGATGTACATGTAAGACAATACGTAGTTGATGAGGTAATTGTAATTACCCAAATAGGAGGGGGCTTTTGTAATTTGACATTTCCTTAGGGGGTTGGCCGTAATTTGCCCTAATTTATTGTAACAATTCATTCATACAAAAAAAAATGCAGATAATTTGAGCAACATCTATCTTGAAGCTAAGAAACCACAATCTACACAACTCACGACAGTATGATGTACAATATCTTGAATGCTATAATCGAACTTAAATCCCATGTCTCTAATTCTCTGAGACGAAATCTTACTAGGCGCTGAATCCCGCTCCATTCCTTCAATCCTACAACATTTATAAAAAAACACGAGATTCATCGGTCATAAATTCAAACTCTAGTACGCGTACGAATTCAAGAGGAGAATTTACAAGACTAGCAAGTAGCAACCTCTGTGAATACGAACAAGGGTACTCTGCGGTAAGAGTCCCAACCAGTTCAGACAGCACGCAACTCTCGGTACAGCATATGTATCGCCCTCGAGCATTTTCATGCTCCATAAGAAATATATGCGCACCGCATATATCTTCAATGTGAACCAATGCAATGGATCCCATTCTTGAGTTCACAGAAGCCAAGATAGGTAGCAGCTTCGGATCACCTTCTTGACCGGTCAAATACGAGATTAAGTGACTTTGTCTATTTGTCAAATTGAAATATTAAAACATTGAAATTTAACGTTCAACCTGTAATTGGGGAAAGCAGAACTTGAATGCTTGCTGGAACTGTCGGAGTGAGAAACGGACCGCCCACCGTTGTTGTGATTACCGATATTATATGAATGCCGTTCTCCTCTGCAAACTGAAATGCTGCCTCTTCTGCGTACAGCTTCGAGAGTACGTATACCTGATGAAAAAGGCAACTAAAGTTGAAAAAGCGAGTATATATATCCGGAAAACTGAAAAACGGGGAAAAAAAAATACCCAGCCGCTTGATTTAGTATTTAGGACATGATCAACACGTGTCTGGCAAGATTCATCGACAATCGGTAACCATCCTCCGGAGCTGTCTTTTGCAGTCATTGTGCTTACGGACGACGTAAAAACAAATCGCTTAACAGTGTTCGATTTTAAACAAGCTTTCAGAATGTTCAATGTTCCTCTAATAGCTGGATCTATGACTTCTGTTTTAACATAGCTGTCTTGAAAGAGGAAATTCAAGCCAATCAACGCGAAAATTTTCGAATAAATTTATTTATTTTGATAATTTCGAGTTTTCGGCCGGACATTACCGGAATCTCTTGAAGCTGGCACGTCGAATTCCATCGAAGCTGCAACGTGGAAAACACCGTCACAGCCTCTTACGGCATCGTCGAAACTTCCATCTTCGTGTAAATCAGACTTGAAAAGACTTAATCTACCCCCATCTTGCCAAACCTTGAACAAATGAGATGCCTTCTCTGGAATATACGATCAGATCATGGTAATTTGTTTATAAATGTTAGAGAATTTACGAATTTCGGGCTTCGGGGTAGCGCCCCCGAATTTTTTTTTAGGATCACTAGACACTGCAAAAATAAGTTTATATTGATATGTTTTAATCAAAATGTCATATATATTATAATTTTATCGTTATTTAAACATAAGACAAAAAAATCTAAATTAATTCAAATTATTCTAATAATGTAACCTATTTAGTATTTTGGGGATTCATGGCATTAGCTCATATTAATTTTTAGAGTTATTAATAAAAAAAATTCAAAAATATATAAATATTCATAAATTTTATTTCAAATAATATAAGTTTTCACCATTTTATTTTATATTTTCATATTAATTTGATATATATATAAATAATTATGAAGAAGAAAACAAAATTAAGAATTAAGATACATATTTGCAAAAACATTAGGGACCAAAAGTAATATTCAAAAAATATAGTGCCAAAATAGCTAAAAAAAATTCTTTTTAAAAATATTGGGGGGAGGGTTTTCAACAGCCCCTTGTAAGTTCCGGCTATGGTCTCAGGTAATTACCAGGATTGCGGACGGCGGCGTGAACTGTGTGGCCTCTTAGGAGGAGAGATTTGACGAGCCATGATCCTATGTAACCTGTTGCCCCCGTCACGCAGTACGTCATCTTCCCATTCATTTCATTCCTATCCTCCATTTTTGAGCACTGAAGAAGCGTTTGATCTGAATCTGTAAGTAAAAATGGTCAATGCTTTTTACTGAGTTCTTAATATATTGTTAGTTCCTAAGGCTGTGTTTGGTAAGCTTTTGGGCTTTCATTTCCATTTTATTTTGGGGAAATATATTTTGGGAGAAGAATTTGAAAATTAAATAAAGTTTGTTTGTGTTTTGGGAGGAGACAATTTGTACTGTAGCAAGTCAAATCATGTCTGAAAGGTGTTGGAAAAAGGTATTTTGGAAGAAGAATTTAAAAGATAAAGTGATTTGATTTTGTATTTTAGTGAAGACAATTTTCACTGTAGCGGTCAAATCATGTTTGTTAGAGAGAGAAATATTTGAATTTGTTTTGGGGAAAGTTTTTGAAAATAGTGTAGAAAGATAATTTTCATTTTGGGGAAAGTGTGAAAAGAATTTGAAAACCGTAACAAACATAGCCTAAGTTGTTCGATATTATTTTAATCATATTTTATTTGGTAAATTACGTTCACACACCGATTAGTCCCGCGGGAAAGTCAAATTATGAAAAGATCCCTCTTGGTTTGAGTAATTATAATTTACAACCATCCCTCAACTATAAATCTTCTTACACGTCTGCTATTGTGGTGTCAAATTTTGTGGAGTCTTCTAGATTTAATCTATGAAATATTCTTCAATTTGTACCCATTTTATCTCGTTAGAGCTCCACATTTTAAAACAAGATGATCATAAGATGTGTCTTTTCGCTTGTAAATATCAGACTGTGATTTATCAGAAACTGCATTTTTATACAAAAATATAATACAAATTAGAGAATATACCACATAATCTAGAAGATTATATTTCACGGTTTGATATACATAACATAAACTTGATGGAAACTCAATACAATCCTGTCAAAAAAGATTCACTATATATTACAGTATTCTCATTCTAAAATCCTACATTGCTGAAAATATGCTACAAATAAAAAAAAAAATCCGAATCAAGTAATTTAAAAAAGAAAAAAGAAAAATGGTCATTTAAACATCGATGGAATCGGCATTACTACTGTCCAAAGATTCGGCTCGTTTGTGTCGAGGCAAAGGACTAGTAGACCTTTCTAATCGCGGCATATCGAGGATGACGACCTCATCTTCCTTGTCACGCTTCCGACTCTGTCTGTGTCTGAATTTAAGAATCTTCGAAAGCACCTGAACAATGTCTCTCATACAAGGCCTTCTCCTAGACACACGGCTCACGCACTTGTGTGCAAGTACCGCCACCTCATTCATCTCTTCCACATCAAACTTACCCTCCAATCGTGGATCCCCGATTTCTTCCCATCCATCTTTTCCCTCCGTATTCATAGCCGCCTATTTAAACCAGTATAATTAAAAATAAAATAAATAAGAAGCGAAAAAAATCTTCGAGAAAAAGACTACTTACTAGCTCAACATGCTCCATAAGACCTTGAAGAGGATTTCTTCCTGCAATGAGTTCAAACAGCAATACGCCGTAGCTGTAAACATCGCTCTTCTTTGTGAACGAACGTGTTGATATGTATTCCGGGTCGAGGTATCCGAAAGTTCCTTGAATATTAGATACATGCTTGCTAACCATCTCTTCTCTCGATAGTCCAAAATCAGCCACCTTCATAAATAGCACGTCATGAGTACATTATTAGCTGATTAAATATTATATTCCGATATAATGAAAACTGGAAAGAAAAAAAAACTACCAACGGAGACGTACCCTAGCTCTCATGGATTGGTCCAACAAAATGTTGGATGATTTTATGTCGCGATGTATTACAGGAGGAACTGCCTGAAGTTGATAATAAGATAATCGAGTAAAGAAATGGAGAACGTATAAATATTATAATATTTGGTTTTGACGAATAGACTTATTAAACTTACACCATCGTGTAGATATTCCAAGCCCCTGGCCACATCGAGAGCTATTTGAATCCTTAATTCCCAATTCAACGGTTCGAGTTTCTGATCTGAAGAGATGATCAAGAAACGTGTGAATATGGATATGGATATATGGATTCCAACACAAATTATAGTCGAATTCGCTCCTCTCTATCAAATTCATATCGATTATAAGTATATTAACTCACTATATAAATGAGATGCCAAACTTCCTCTGCTCATGTACACGTATATAAGCATGTGTTGGTGTTTCTCCGCACAGTAGCCGACCAAGTTCACGAGGTTTCTATGATGTAATCTCCCCAACAACATAACCTGCAAAAAAATAAGTCGAACAAGCACGTAAGAAATATACGAAAGCACGTCCTCACTTTTTCTAGAAGGTTTTTACTTCTCGAAAATCAAAAGTACCTCAGTTTGGAACTCTTTCTCCCCCTGCTTAGAATCTGTAGCAAGCACTTTAACCGCCACAGTCTCGCCGGTCAACATCTGAGCTTTGTAAACGGGACCGAACGACCCTTGACCGATTAATGTCGTGAAATTGCACGTTGCTTTCTGCAGGTCCCTGCTCGTGCATCAACCAATATAAATTCGATTAAAATTTGAATGACCATTCAACATCTACAAGAACTGTCTAAAACATAAAATCAAGAATCACGGGTAATCAAACTTAACGACCATGTACACCATACAAAAAAAAAAAAAAAAAAAAAAACCGACTATCTTAATTTTTCAAGAATATGCAATAGCTCCTCGAAGAGACGACACGAAACGATTTTACGTACTTGTAAGGGTATTCCATTATACCAGATGCAGAAATCACACTGGACTTCTTAATTCCCCTGAGCCAAAACGACAAGCCGTTCTGTACAGTAGACTTTGGCGACTCGGTGCCCATCGAAGAATCTGACAATACGGTACAAGAATTGGCACCATTCGCGCGAATAGGTATGGTTGCAGCCCTTCTAGAACTGCTGTTTCCGATCTGCGAACGCTGCCTATGGTAATACCTAATGCAGAAAAATGCAGCTACAGCCGAAGCTGCTCCGATAACAACCCCGATCGATATTCCAATTATCAACCCCGACGACTCCCCTCTCATATCTGAATTCCCAATTCAACTTATGTTATCTATTGATAAATCATCCATCCATAAATCTGCAAAAACGGAACTCATAACAAATCAGCTCATAACTTAGCTACTAGAGCCAAAGGACACAACCCCATGAACAGACATTTCATCAAACACAAGCAACGCGGAGTTTTCGGGTCTAAAACTTTGAAAATTGAAAGTCCATTCGCATCAAAAAATTCAGCAAAAGGCGGCTGAATGCAACGACTGGAAGATCGGGAAGCTTCAGTCAAAATTTCAATGGAGTTGCCAAAACGAATAAAAAGTCAAATCTCAATCTCTAACACACATAACATAAACACATACAAAACAAAACGCTACAACTGAAAATAAACCCAAAATAATTTGGTCGTCGCAAATCAGAACAACCCGGATCGAGCATGGAAATAAACATAAATACGCCCCCAAAACGAAAAGGGAAAAATGGAAGTATAATTGCTAAAATTAGCGACGACAATTTTTTTTTTTTTAATATAGATGCACAGAGTAAAGTACAGCAGCAGAATTTGAAAAGAGAATGTTGCAACGAGCTGGCATTACTGTTTCTTACCCTCTTTTTTTTTTACTGTGTTCTTCTAGGAGTCCCGCTTGCATCAAATCTTTGTTCCAGAGCTGAAGAGTTGGGAGCTGATGATTTATTTTTTTTATTTTATTTTTTTTCCGTGGGTGAAAGCGTTTGCCGGAATAAAAAAAGAAAAAGTGAAATCTGCGACGGATGTAATGAAGAAGAAAGGAAAATCAGAAGCAGGGGTGGGTGTGAATAAGATACAAGCAAAGAAACGCGAAATCTGACAGAGGAAAAAATCAATGGCGAATGACGACGGAATGCAGCTGCAGCATAAGCCCTGCGCTTTCTTTCCTTTTTTTTTTCTTTTTTCTCCTGGAATTTTAAATTTGGTTAAAGCAAATATATGTATATATATATATAATATTTATATATTATATTATATATGTAAGAATGGTATAAAATGATGAAATGGCAATGCGCGTGAAGTATGAAATGAGGAGTTTCTCTTATTTCCCAGACTGCCCTTTTGCGGTTTGATTATAAATATCTTATTTTGGAAATTTTATTATTTTTCTTTTCCATAATTAATTTCGTGTGACCAAACGATCTTCGGCACTGATTCTTTCATCAAGTAATGGCTCGTTTGGCTAAATTTATTTTAAATAGTTGATAAACTCCTACATCTGATAAGTTGTTTTAAGATTTGATAATTTGTTATGTCTTAATTTTCAAGTTAATTCTTAAAGTATTTGGTTAATGAGCTTATAAATTATTTTTATTTATTATAATATTTTAAATAAAAATGTTTGAAGATGTACTTTTAAGGAAAAAAAACATTTGTTCTCTAGCAACTTATTATACAAATTTTTAAAAATATTTAAAAAAAAAATTCAAACACTTTGAGAAATCATATAAATTTTTAAACATCTTATAAACTTTTTTTTAATAGATTATAAACTTAGTCAAATAAAGGATTTACACACCAATTAACAAAAAGTATTTTACTTTGATAAAAGCCAAAATGAATTTGGTAGGTTGTGGACAATGAAGGTCAATTCGGTAATATCATCTTCAACATTTTTTTTTTCTTTTTCATATACATAACAACTCATTATTTTCTCATTCAAGGTAATATCGATTTTCATATCAGTGAAGATATTCGTTTCCTCGTTAGTGAAAATTGACACAAACTAGAGTTATTTTGGACAAACCAAATCAAAAAAAATTAATAATAGATATTAAACATAGATTATTTATTTCCTATGGTTAATGTATGTGGGATTATTTACCTAATGTGATGGGAGCTGTTAACTAAATTCATTAAAATTATTTCACCAAAAAACGTCTCATTTAATTTATTATTAATAAAGCGCCCACACAATTTCTCCTTGATATATATCATATATTTAACATATGTATATATATATAATATTTTATACAAGGCCACATGTAGAGAGATGCTTTCTTTCGTGAAACGTTAATTATCTAAATAATCGTAATTAATTATGATCTTGATTAGTGAACACCTAAAGTTAAAGTAAGTACTTGGAGTTATCTAGATTGTAAACTAATAATTTATTTAATAATTCTCTTCTTGTACTTGGAGGGTGATAATAGCAATGTTAGGTTTGATTTTAAGGTGATAATTTGAAATTTGGAGCAGTCAATAATACATAAGCAGTTGATTTTATGGTTAAATCGGTTTTTTTGTAATACCTACTAATCAAATGTTTACCTAATCATTGCTTAGTCTTACTGAACTTGTTTTAAGAAATTTAAAAAAAAAATAATAATAATAATAATTATATACATGGCTGTGGTTGAATTTTTTACCACGTCACCTTTTTTTTTTTTGCCCTAATCCAAAATATTGTCCAAACTCATAAGTTGACCATGAGCAATAGGGTCTTATTTTAAGGAGCTTACCAAAAAAATATAAAAATTATTTAAAAAATACGTATTAATTAAGTTAGTATTTATTGTTGAAAAAATTAGAATGTCTTTAAATTAGTTTTTTATGCAACTACGTGGCATTATATTTAATAGCATTTGTAAGATAGTTGAAGAAAAAAAAAGATGATGCAAGTTGAATAAAGAATAAGAGGGCGGAGTGGCATGGATCTGGGTGAAATTCAATGAAGCTTCTCTCTCTCTCTCTCTCTCTCTCTCTCTCTCTCTCTCTCTCTCTCTCTCTCTCTCTCTATCTCTACATGCAGAGCAATCTTCAGACAAAAGATTTGTTCAAGACGTGGGTGGAAGTTTATATAGAAGAAAATCATATACAATTGAATTAGTTCTTTAAATATTAACATAAGATCATAAAAAATCTAGATAAATAATTCTTTTTATATTAATATAAATTAATATTTCGTAAAAATAGTAGCTTTGTAAGTTATATATATCTTTCTTGGTGATAAATGTTATTTATTGAATTACAAAATTGATTATTTATAGAGAAAAAAAAATTCATAACTTATCACAAATAATTACGACAATGGAATATTTCATACGTTTCAAAGAAAAAAAAAATCTGTTAGAGTTAACAAGTTTATACGAGAAATGATAAATGAGATGTAGTATTATGGCTATGAAGGATGAAAATGAGACATTGAGATATGAGGGACTAAAGTGTAACTAAATATCAAGATAACGGACCATTAATGAATTTAGCCCATCATATTTCAATTTCTAATTCGATTGCAATTTCAAAATATAGTTTTGGAAAATTCGTTTTTTTCTTGGTGAAAATACTTATTTGGAAAGGGTGTATTTGGTATTCCACATTTTAATATTCTTTTACTCAAAAGAGTTAAGGTGGAACGGTGGGGATTAATGGCAGAATGTTTTGACGGGATTGCCGATGCTCATATTGCTACCAAAATAGGGGACAATCTGCCCCAACTGATTTAATTTTGTCGTTAACGTGAAAACATAACGGAGTTCAGAAACGGGCAACTGGGCCAAGGAACCAAACGGCGTTTAAATTACTTCCATAAACAAAATTCAATTTCGGCCCACCACCATCTCTACACGTCTTCCATTAGTGCTACATAATATTATTTCTATTAAATTTAATAAAAAATCGAATAATGAAAAAAATGAATTCTATTTATTTAATTTAGAGGTGACAATCACAAATATAAATGCTTGAGCTCAAAGACAAATGTGCTTATCGGTAAAGAGAACATCAGATCTCAGAACATGTTAGGAACACGTGTGCGCACGTGCGATGTGCTCCATGCTTATTGGTATCATGTGCCAAAACACAAATAATGTTTTGGATAATTGCTTGACGCCGAATTATCAAATATCATTTTTTTGTCCAAATAATAAATAATTTTATTTTTACTTTTCATTTTTGTCCAAACAAAATGTTCGTATTTATTTATTTATTTTTAATTTATTTCTAATTTTTATGAGTATTTCACTATTTTGCCCTTCACCTTTTATTTCGACAGTGGTGTTGCAGTGATGTGGAGTTGGGCTGGTTGCAGTACAAATGTCAACTGAAATGTGGGCCTGGGCCAACTTCTTACACATATTTGGGCTTAATAGACCTAATTTTCTCAATTGTTAATTTTCGATGAGAAAATATATAATGCTTCATACATTTCAATTGATGCTTAAAAACCAATTAAAAACAACAAATTATGTACCATGGTTTGTTCTATGCTACATTCGATTGTGAAAATTAAATATAAAAAAGTTATTCTGTTTGTTTCATTGAATGTGGTACATAAGAGACCAAGTAACATCGTTACGAGGAGTTGGGCCCAAATGATTTATTCATTTTGGGAATGAGCCCAATCCTCAATCCACTTGAGGCAACCCAATCTTGGTGTCAGATCACTCGCTCAATCAAGTTCTATTTAATGGAAGATTTTCTGGACTTTTATCTTGACCGCCTACTTGGGTAGTTAATCATGTCCGTCCATCTGATCCTTTAACTAAGGTCTACCTTCTTCATGTGTTCTAAACCTAGTTGACTTTCACCACTTTGTACTCTCTCTCTTCTTGTACCTTTGTCATTCTTCCTCTCCTTTTGTTTTTCATCGGTGACTTCTGAGTCAAACACCACTTACGATGGCTGACCTTGACTCTGAGGTGAATTCTCCACCGATGATCGATGTCTATGCCTTTATAGATAGATTTTGTAGATAGAAACAAGGCGGGTTGACACACAGATCAGTTCCTTTCCTTTGCTTTGGGTCTTTATTCTTCTACGAGTGAGAGATAACACTCCCGGTGAGGAAAAAAATTCATAGATTTCTGAGTTTGTTAAAGATAAATTAAATACTTGTTTTCTGAACTGGTGAGCCAAACTTAGGGTAAACTTTCGGCGAGTTAGTGAGTCTCTGAGTTGAGTAAGATGAGGTGAGATAAGCTGAGTGCTTGATACAAATTGTTGCCATCGTCAACTAGATTTCTGAACATGGATTGAATTATTAGATACTGAGCTGGTGATGAACAAAAACAATTCCATGTGTTTGAATTACTAATTGTTGATTTATATGCCTATAGAAATCAGTTGACCTAAGTTGTAACA